GCCTTCTACGGCAATTATTTTTAGTTAGCATATAGCTAAAATCTAACCATGGTTATACAATAGCAGCAGCTGCATTCTGGCACGATAAGCTGTATGTTTTATATTCAATTAACGTATGATCTGATTAGTCGACTAATCGAATAAATAATCGGTGATTAATCGATTATAAAAATAATCGTTTGTGGCAGCTCTAATCGACATGGGGGTGTGGATCTTGGATTTTTGTTAGATTTTTTGTGGGATTTTTGATTGTTCTCTGATACTACTGTACTATTTATAGTTTTTAGCTGTGTATCTTTTAAAAAGGCTGAATTATAGCCCTTTATAAAATTAACATTAGTGATTAGCGTAATTTGGTATTAGCATTGACAATCAGAATGTGACCATTCTTACCTACTTCAACACGTCTTAAAATTTATAGTTAGCTCAGGTGGCCATCTTGAATTTTTGATTGTAAATTAGAATTTGATAAAGATTGTTATTGGCTTCTTCTACACCAGGGCTATTCAACTGGCGGCCCGCGGGCCGGATGTGGCCCGCGAGTGACCAAAGTCCGGCCCACCAATTGGTTTATTCATCTCAAGCCCAAACCCCCAGTTTTCTATTTTAATTACTCTAAGTTCTTTTAGTTAAACATGGACATGTTTAGTATCTACAGAAACGTCACAACCTTGGCTAGAAGCTGGTAAAAAATATTTCTATAAACACTCAAGACAGTTAAAACTACAAGCAGTTGAAGATAAAATGATGAAAGTGAAAATAAAACTGGTTTAAAATCAGAGATGTCAAGTCAGAGATGTCAAAGTATTATTTGGGTCTAATAGGAGGCAGAATGTGTTCTTTTTGTTTTTGATAATGTTTAGTTATCACTACTTTTATAGGATTCTGTTTGTTGTATTCATGATTAAATGCAGCAAAATAAACTAATTCAAAGGTAACATATCTTTGTAATACTTAGTTTATTTACATAATAACATTAATTGCTGGATGTTCGGCCCCTCAGCTGTTGACCTGCAGTAACTGTGGCCCCTGGAGAAATTTAGTTGAATAGCCCTGTTCTACACTAATCTTCATTTTGTTTTTTGTCTAAAAATGGCTGAATAATAAGCTGCATTCAGCATGTTTTGTTTCCCCATCGTTCTTAACTACAATCAAACAAACTTTCTTCTCAATATTTCTCAAAAAATCTGGATTAAAACCATTTGGATCTAGCTGTGGTTTCCATCTTGAATTTTCAAAGCTAAAGCAGCTCTCTTTAATAACGTGACACCCCCCAACACCTTGGCCACCGCTTGCAAAAAAAAAAAAAAAAAAAAAAAA